GCGCGAGACAAAAATAACAAAAAGCAGTCCCCCCATGGGGCTGCTCGACCCGACGACCACAATTATTAAGAGTGTTGTGCTCTGCCGAATGAGCTCGACGGTCTTCATACTCGCCAACAAACCCACAACATACAAAATCAAACAAACCGACGCGCTCGCTACCACCCACTCGTACCAGCGATCGCACACAGACCACACAGGCCCCACCCCGATCCGCGATCGACAGAAGAAGCACTGGTCGGACATCTCGATTCAACGAGTCGTGATCGGCCCAGCCACCCTGTCTCTTTGCACCAACTTCGTCTTGCTCACACGGCTTCACTTCACACTGTCCGAGGTCCTTGATGGACCCGTCCACATATCGAGTCCGAGCGGCGTGGTGGTGTGGCATGCAAGCCGGACTCGATCTGCGCGACCCTGTCCGCAGAAAGAACGGCCAGATTTTACCAGTCATCGGAAACAGGACGACTGTCAAACATCCACACCGGTATCAAGGACTCAGATACACACTGGGAGGCATGGGAGGGATCAGGGACGATCGTCACGCATATCAAGAGCGGACGTGCGCGCGAGGCCAAAATAGCAAAAGCAGTCGCCCACCGTGGGGCTCGAACCCACGACCACAAGATTAAGAGTCTTGCGCTCTACCGACTGAGCTAGACGGGCTTCATACTCGCACACAAACCCAAAACATACAAAATCAAACAAACCGACGCGCTCGCTACCACCCACTCGTCCCAGCGATCGCACACAGCCCACACAGGCCCCACCCCGATCCGCGATCGACAGAAGAAGCACTGGTCGGACATCTCGATTCAACGAGTCGTGATCGGCCCAGCCACCCTGTCTCTTCGCACCAACTCCGTCTTGCTCACACGGCTTCACTTCACACTGTCCGAGGTCCTTGATGGACCCGTCCACATATCGAGTCCGAGCGGCGTGGTGGTTTGGCATGCAAGCCGGACTCGATCTGCGCGACCCTGTCCGCAGCAAGAACGGCCAGATTTTACCAGTCATCGGAAACAGGACGACTGTCAAACATCCACACCGGTATCAAGGACACAGATACACACTGGGAGGCATGGGAGGGATCAGGGACGATCGTCACGCATATCAAGAGCGGACGTGCGCGCGAGGCCAAAATAGCAAAAGCAGTCGCCCACCGTGGGGCTCGAACCCACGACCACAAGATTAAGAGTCTTGCGCTCTACCGACTGAGCTAGACGGGCTTCATACTCGCACAACAACCCAAAACATACAAAATCAAACAAACCGACGCGCTCGCTACCACCCACTCGTCCCAGCGATCGCACACAGCCCACACAGGCCCCACCCCGATCCGCGATCGACAGAAGAAGCACTGGTCGGACATCTCGATTCAACGAGTCGTGATCGGCCCAGCCACCCTGTCTCTTCGCACCAACTCCGTCTTGCTCACACGGCTTCACTTCACACTGTCCGAGGTCCTTGATGGACCCGTCCACATATCGAGTCCGAGCGGCGTGGTGGTGTGGCATGCAAGCCGGACTCGATCTGCGCGACCCTGTCCGCAGCAAGAACGGCCAGATTTTACCAGTCATCGGAAACAGGACGACTGTCAAGCATCCACACCGGTATCATGGACACCGATACACACTGGGAGGCGTGGGAGGGATCAGAGACGCTCGTCACGCATATCAAGAGCGGACGTGCGCGCGAGGACCAAAATTAGCAAAAGCAGTCCGTCCCCCGTCGGGGCTCGAACCCCACGACCACAAGATGAAGAGTCTTGCGCTCTACCGACTGAGCTAGACGGGCTTCATACTCGCACACAAACCCAAAACATACAAAATCAAACCAACCGACGCGCTCGCTACCACACACTCGTCCCAGCGATCGCACACAGCCCACACAGGCCCCACCACGATCCGCGATCGACAGAAGAAGCACTGGTCGGACATCTCGATTCAACGAGTCGTGATCGGCCCAGCCACCCTGTCTCTTCGCACCAACTCCGTCTTGCTCACACGGCTTCACTTCACACTGTCCGAGGTCCTTGATGGATCCGTCCACATATCGAGTCCGAGCGGCGTGGTGGTTTGGCATGCAAGCCGGACTCGATCTGCGCGACCCTGTCCGCAGCAAGAACGGCCAGATTTTACCAGTCATCGGAAACAGGACGACTGTCAAACATCCACACCGGTGTCAATGACTCAGATACAGACTGGGAGACGTGGGAGAGATCAGAGACGCTCGTCACGCATATCAAGAGCGGACGTGCGCGCGAGGCCAAAATGGCAAAAGCAGTCGCCCACCGTGGGGCTCGAACCCACGACCACAAGATTAAGAGTCTTGCGCTCTACCGACTGAGCTAGACGGGCTTCATACTCGCACACAAACCCAAAACATACAAAATCAAACAAACCGACGCGCTCGCTACCACCCACTCGTCCCAGCGATCGCACACAGCCCACACAGGCCCCACCACGATCCGCGATCGACAGAAGAAGCACTGGCCGGACATCTCGATTCAACGAGTCGTGATCGGCCCAGCCACCCTGTCTCTTCGAACCAACTCCGTCTTGCTCACACGGCTTCACTTCACACTGTCCGAGGTCCTTGATGGACCCGTCCACATGTCGAGTCCGAGCGGTGTGGTGGTGTGGCATGCAAGCCGGACTCGATCTGCGCGACCCTGTCCGCAGCAAGAACGGCCAGATATTACCAGTCATCGGAAACAGGACGACTGTCAAACATCCACACCGGTATCATGGACACAGATACACACTGGGAGGCGTGGGAGGGATCAGAGACGCTCGCCACGCATATCAAGAGCGGACGTGCGCGCGAGGCCAAAATAGCAAAAGCAGTCGCCCACCGTGGGGCTCGAACCCACGACCACAAGATTAAGAGTCTTGCGCTCTACCGACTGAGCTAGACGGGCTTCATACTCGCACACAAACCCAAAACATACAAAATCAAACAAACCGACGCGCTCGCTACCACCCACTCGTCCCAGCGATCGCACACAGCCCACACAGGCCCCACCCCGATCCGCGATCGACAGAAGAAGCACTGGTCGGACATCTCGATTCAACGAGTCGTGATCGGCCCAGCCACCCTGTCTCTTCAGACCAACTCCGTCTTGCTCACACGGCTTCACTTCACACTGTCCGAGGTCCTTGATGGACCCGTCCACATGTCGAGTCCGAGCGGCGTGGTGGTGTGGCATGCAAGCCGGACTCGATCTGCGCGACCCTGTCCGCAGCAAGAACGGCCAGATATTACCAGTCATCGGAAACAGGACGACTGTCAAACATCCACACCGGTATCATGGACACAGATACACACTGGGAGGCGTGGGAGGGATCAGAGACGCTCGCCACGCATATCAAGCGCGGACGTGCGCGCGAGGCCAAAATAGGCAAAAGCAGTCGCCCACCGTGGGGCTCGAACCCACGACCACAAGATTAAGAGTCTTGCGCTCTACCGACTGAGCTAGACGGCTTCATACTCGCACACAAACCCAAAACATACAAATCAAACAAACGATGCGCTCGCTACAACCCACTCGTCCAGCGATCGCACACAGCCACACAGGCCCCACCACGATCCGCGATCGACAGAAGAAGCACTGGTCGACATCTCGATTCAACGAGTCGTGATCGGAACTCAACCTGTCTCTTCGCACCAACTCCGTCTTGCTCACACGGCTTCACTTCACACCTTGTCCGGAGGTCCTTGATGGACCCGTCCACATATCGAGTCCGAGCGGCGTGGTGGTGTGGCATGCAAGCCGGACTCGATCTGCGCGACCCTGTCCGCAGCAAGAGCGGCCAGATTTTACCAGTCATCGGAAACAGGACGACTGTCAAACATCCACACCGGTATCAAGGACTCAGATACACACTGGGAGGCATGGGAGGGATCAGAGACGATCGTCACGCATATCAAGAGCGGACGTGCGCGCGAGGCCAAAATAGCAAAAGCAGTCGCCCACCGTGGGGCTCGAACCCACGACCACAAGATTAAGAGTCTTGCGCTCTACCGACTGAGCTAGACGGGCTTCATACTCGCACACAAACCCAAAACATACAAAATCAAACAAACCGACGCGCTCGCTACCACCCACTCGTCCCAGCGATCGCACACAGCCCACACAGGCCCCACCCCGATCCGCGATCGACAGAAGAAGCACTGGTCGGACATCTCGATTCAACGAGTCGTGATCGGCCCAGCCACCCTGTCTCTTCGCACCAACTCCGTCTTGCTCACACGGCTTCACTTCACACTGTCCGAGGTCCTTGATGGACCCGTCCACATATCGAGTCCGAGCGGCGTGGTGGTGTGGCATGCAAGCCGGACTCGATCTGCGCGACCCTGTCCGCAGAAAGAACGGCCAGATTTTACCAGTCATCGGAAACAGGACGACTGTCAAACATCCACACCGGTATCAAGGACTCAGATACACACTGGGAGCCATGGGAGGGATCAGAGACGATCGTCACGCATATCAAGAGCGGACGTGCGCGCGAGGCCAAAATAGCAAATTCAGTCGCCCACCGGGGGGCTCGAACCCACGACCACAAGATTAAGAGTCTTGCGCTCTACCGACTGAGCTAGACGGGCTTCATACTCGCACACAAACCCAAAACATACAAAATCAAACAAACCGACGCGCTCGCTACCACCCACTCGTCCCAGCGATCGCACACAGCCCACACAGGCCCCACCCCGATCCGCGATCGACAGAAGAAGCACTGGTCGGACATCTCGATTCAACGAGTCGTGATCGGCCCAGCCACCCTGTCTCTTCGCACCAACTTCGTCTTGCTCACACGGCTTCACTTCACACTGTCCGAGGTCCTTGATGGACCCGTCCACATATCGAGTCCGAGCGGCGTGGTGGTGTGGCATGCAA